CTGATATTATTTCAGTTAAAAGCCTTCTGGAACAGGAAGGTTTTGACCTGGCGCCGAAATGTCATCAGCGTTGTCGCCAGACAAATCTCAGTCGGGAGGGCATTCCATAGTCTGGGGGCAGCTGCCAAAAAGGCCCTTTCTCTACAAGCCCTCCCTCTTATCTCCTTAAGGGATGGCTCTTTCAAAAGGGCTCCCTGGTTAGATCTTAACTGCTGGGTAGGTTCATATGGAAGGAGGCGGTCCTTCAGGTATCCAAATATGGAGCTGTGAATCAAAATATCCTGTGTTAAATCTCAAATCTGCCATGAATTCTGGAGTGCCGTATTCTCTCAACCCCCATTTGTAACATACAGATGATAATACAGTCCTAAGTTATGGGGGAGTTGTGTGGATTCCTATAGTATGTATATTAATACTTGAGAAGTTCCACACAGTATATAAATGAGAAGTGCTATTATTTCCCTATGTCTTAAGGGTGACCTTTGTTGATTCTAAAAACAGCTATATACAACATCCAGAAAGTGCAAGCAAACCACGAGGTATTCTCTATTGCTCAATAACTGGGATCATCCTTCCTTTTTCAAGACCTTTATCTTACCATATTACCTGCTGTGAACCATCACGCTGCAGTAGAGAATACAAAGTTAAAAGCTTGCTTAAAGTAAAGAATGAAACAAAATTATTTCCCGGCTGAAAAATTGTAAATCGATCACAATTTCAGGCATGAATTGAATGATGCCTAAAGTCAGCATGTCTGTCAAGTTATCAACCCGTAGCATGCTTTTTTAAAGAAACTTACCACTCTGCATCATAATTGACACATAATGTAATCTTTTCTCACCTAGGGTATCGGGATCGAGATCGGGATCGTTATGATTCAGATCGATACCGTGATGGCCCCCGAAGAGATATGGACCGTTTTGGGGGTCGGGATCGCTATGATGACCGTAGAGATTATGACAGAGGAGGTACTGTGGGTTATAGACTTCTTTATGTTTCTGGGGATTAAATGGAATCTCTCCTAATCCTTTCTGTCTCAATAACTGTTTGCACTGCTATACTGTGTAGCTTCCATTTCCCCTTTCCATATCTTGTATGCAAGTGAGTGGAACGTGGAAGGTCTTCCTCCTTTGAAGGTGAACCTAACTGGAGTTGCAATGTGCGTTAAAGAGAGCTAGTGTGGAATTTATTTTTCCCCTCCTAGCAAGGTCATTTTGCTTCTGTGTTTCCAAGATTAGCTGTTACCTTTCTGAGAGCCTACAGGGGTCAAGAAATGTTGAGGTCTTATTTAAATAAATGCAATATGAACAGCTAATGCTCGTCACACCTTCTCCCACTCTGTCATATTAGTCTCACAAATACCATTATGATTCTACTGAGGTTTTTGTGGTGTGTTTTTAAAATTTTGTTACTTGTAAGGTTGGTAACTTTGGTTGCTATACAAAATCAATTCAGTTGTTGCTCTAATAATGGAAATAGTGTTGCTCTGTCTTCTGCATGGTGCATCTTGCTCATTCTTCACTGCATCATTGTCAGTTGGGTGATATTACATTAGTATAGAAGAGTGAAAGACTAGGCTTTTTACTGTATTAATAAAGTTTTACTTTTGGCAAGGTTTTGAACTGAAATAGTTTTCCTGAAATTTTTCTATAGAGCTGTGTATAATGTTCTGCAAGTTATATTGTGAATTCCTCCTGAAACCTTAGATGTGTCAGTGCTGTCTCTTTTTGCTTAGCAGCTGCTTGGTTAAGGATTGTATGCCTGTGTTGATTGCATATAGATTTGCCTTTGATGGAAAGCACTTTTTTTGATGTATGTCTCTTTTGATCTATGAGTCTGTTTGGATTCCTGAGATAGCAATCTGTGGTGCTGTCCTCAACATTTCCCTGAGGGATAGCCATGTTCCTCTGTTGCAGCAGAGTGAGGGATTCTTGTTTAATAGAACCTTAAATACACTTGTTCACCCTTTAAGCTACCGCTGCTTCCTGTTGTTCACAAACCAGTATAATATCCCCTCTCCTACAGGCTTCGATTCAAGGTCAGGCAGTGGCAGGAGGGCTTTTGGTAGTGGATACCGCCGGGACGATGATTACAGGGGTGGTGGTGATCGCTATGAGGATCGTTATGAGAGGCGGGATGACCGGATGGATCGGTGGAGCAGCTCACGGGATGACTATAGCAGGGATGACAGTCGACGGGATGATAGAGGTAGGTCCTGTGTTTGCTTAGTGGCAAGAAAAGGAGATGTATTGGTTTGTGCTGCTGTCATTATGTGTTACTGGAGAGCTTTCTTCCATCCCTTCGTGTTTGTTGTTTTCTAACATGGGTAAAAAGAGCCATCTTGAAATTAATCGTAAACCAGGTGTGGGAAGTCTCCTGAGGTTGAGGACCAGGTTTCACTTGGGTCAATATCTTGTGGAGAGCTGTACCCCTCCCCAAAATCCACAGCATGATCCCTCATCCATAATCATCTTCTATTTATTTGTTTACATTGCCTCTCCGGTGCATATAGTACCCAGCTAGGCCCATGAAAACACTGGGTTAAGGAAAAAGTATACATTAGTCAGCACTTTTTAAAAAAAATGATATGTAGCAGAATCATACGATTTGTTGATTCCTGTTGGCATTTGATTCTTGTTGTGACTCTTCTTCGCTTTAGCATGTTTTTGTCATCTAAATGTAATCTTCTATTTCTAGTTTAGATAAATCAGCTTTTGCTTTATCTTGCAATCAGTTGCATGGTATGTCTGCCTTGTTTGTTGTCTTCAACATTTTGTGGACGGTTTCCTTTTAGGTCCCACTCAGAGGCCCAAATTGAATCTGAAGCCTCGGAGCACACCCAAGGAGGAAGATACATCTGTAGCTCCTGCTACCCAGTCTAGCCGTGCAGCCTCCATCTTTGGGGGGGCCAAACCTGTGGATACTGCTGCAAGGGAGCGTGAAGTAGAAGAGAGGCTACAGAAGGAACAAGAGAAACTCCAGCGCCAACTGGAAGATGATAAGCCCAGGCTGGAACGACGGCCCAGGGAACGGTGAGAAGTAACAATGAGTGTGTGGCATGCATGTATTCCCATTAGAGATCAATTCAGTTCTTCAAAACAACCCTCTGTTTTATGAATGTGGGATAATGTGCTTCTGTATCCACAATTCAAAATGCTAGGAAATAGCCTAGAAAGCCAGCAGCAGGGAGAGACCCTGAGGCAGGAGGTAGGAGCCGGTGTGGGGGAGATATTTTTGAATTTTTCCCAGGCTCTGTTGGCTGGGAGCGCAGGGCGATCGGGCAAGGCGAGGAGCACTGTGTGCAGCCCTGACAGCCCCCTCTCTNNNCTCCCCCCCCCCCCCCCACTCTGCCCCCAGCCACTGGATCTCTCCATGCTGCTGGCTTTCCAGCCAGGCTGGAAAGCCAGCAGCATGGAGGAACCCCACAGCGGGAGACAGAGCCCTTTGGGGAGGCCATTTGAATTTCCCGGGCTCCTGTCTTCAGCCTCTGGGTCCCTCCACGCTGCTAGCTTTCCAGCCGGGCTCCAGGAGACTGCGCCACCGTTTGTGCGCAGGCACAAACAACCTTTGTGGGGGTGAGTGGGGGGGAGGTCTGTCTTGGCGGCCCAATCAGGCTTAAGCCACGGACCGGCAATGGGCCGCGGACCGGGGGTTGATGACCTCTGGTCTATAGGATCTTGTAATCTGTTCCTTTTGATCTTTCACCTGGACATTGAGCAAAGCTGTATCTACTTAGCTTCTGCATGTTGCATTGTTATTAGGTGCTTCCTGGCCATTTAGTGGGTGCATCATGAGTTCATCAGGAAACTTCAGCACTAGATTTCCTTTAGGTTGTAACCTGCTTGTCCACTCTCTTGAACAGAGGTCTCACTTAAGCCATAACCTTCCTTAGGAGCAATGCTACTGAGGAAAAGCACTGAGCACCTTGGTTCATATGATTTAACTCAGTTAGATCTACTGTATCTGGAATTCTGCATTCTTAAGTTCTGTTGTGTCCCACACGTATTGTACAGTAACTGGTGCTCCCTGTATCTAGGCACCCCAGCTGGCGTAGTGAAGATAATCAAGAGCGGTCACGGACTGGGAGCGAATCCTCACAGACTGGCAGTACAACCCCTTCTGTGGGAACAGGCCCAACAGGAAGAAGTAAGTTAAAGTATTGTTTGTTCAACTCCAAGGTGAATCTATCTGTTTCCAGAACATGTTGTTATTAATTTCAGTAAGTCAATCTTAGTAACTTTCCAAGGGGAAGATTTGTTTCAGTCGTGTGGCAGACCTAAGTTCACAGAAGGGCAATATCTTTATTGGGTCCAAGCAACTTCACAAGAGTGTACATGCATTCAAATTCTCTCAGACTTCATTGGAAGAGAAAGGTGTTTGAATATGAGGGAGCAAGGAGGAACAGAGGGAAGTCCACAAAGTTGGCGCAGGTGGAGATGGCAAGGCTATTGGTGTAGACTTGAAGAAGTGGGTGTTCTTAGTGCTGCGTAAGCACATTTGTCCATCATCTACCAGCAGATCCACTGTGTAGAAATCAGCAGAAACATTCAGAAAATAAGCCAACTATTAATAAGTAATTTAGACTTCCTGTTATAGAGAAATCTTTGACCTAGCAGCATGGGCAAGGAAGAAGTTAGAATACAAATGGCTAGTGTTGCCAGTTTTTTAATGTTGGTTTTGTTGCATTTTATTTTTTAGCATACATTTGTTAACAAGGTATATAATTTTTGGTTTGGTCTTACTGGTGATGCATCTGTTCATCCTCTTCCTCACTGACACACTCATGGTGGATATTGTGTCAATGTGCCAAACAAGCTATGAACCAAACAGTGATCCATGTGAAAGAAAGAGTGACTACAGCATTGTAACACATTATTTAATGAATCTTAACTTCAATATATAGATAGTTTGGGGTTTGTTTTGTTAGGGGTAGTGTAGTCTTTGGAAGGGAGAGTTTTGGAGTTGATCACAGTTGTTAGTGCTGGGGAAAGTGGGTGGTTTAACTCAATGGGTTAGTTTTCTAATCAAAACCTGTTGTCTTATGTTGTGGGCCAGTGGGGTGGAGAATTCCAGCTGAGTGGAAGGCAAATGGAAGACGACTTTCTTGCAAAAGAGACTCAGTTTATCACCTCCATCTTTCACCTGTAGTCAGCTTCACAGCCTCCACTCCCTCTGGCATACAGATGAGACTGCCTAATAATACAGGATTGTACAACAAGAATGTCCAATGATGGCAGAGAGAGAAAAAAAGTTTAAGACAGCACAAAATTTGCCCTCTGCCTGCAGTTCAGGGTTGATGCACAGCTTCGAAATCACAATTTTCCCAACGGGCAGTTCTCACTTCTGTTGCAAAGAAGACAAAATAGTTCAGGTCAAAAAGAAGCAGGACGTTCAACAGTGACATGGTTTGTTATAGTTCTACAGATCAAACAAGAGACCATTTTTGGGCTGGTTCTGTGATAATGGCCCACAGTGTATAGACTCACAGGTTCATTTGGTGGTGCATGGTGGCTAAATGTATCAGCCAGCCTATAAATGTTGAATAACTGAGCAAAAAAAAATGCTTTCTCAACTATATGGCTTTGAGGGGAGCCCACATAATCTCATTTTCTGCCTTTATAGCCTCACGGAGAAGAGAGAGTGAAAAGTCATTGGAAAATGAAAATATAAGCAAAGAAGATGAAGGTCTGTCTCCCACATCCAAGAATTCCAGGGAAGAGAAGCAGCCCTTGAAGGTGATGCCAGCTCCTCCACCAAAAGAAAATGCTTGGGTAAAACGCAGCAGCAACTCGCACCCAGCACGCTCACAGAGTTCCGATTCGGACCAGCATTCCCCTACCAGGTGAGGGTCTCTGTGGGAGCGGTCCTGCCTTTCCTTTTTACCGCAGGTCTTAAAACAACTTCATTTGCAGCAGAGGTTGCAAGTTATTCCTGGACATTTTTTTTAACCCTTATCTGTTTCTTCATTGCAAACCTTCTGGCAGTCATTACAGAAAGAATGTATTGAAAATGCTAGAAAAGTGAACTGGGGAAACCAAAACAAGCTTTTATTCAGCTCAGTATCTTTGACCAAGACTCTACTCAATAATTTATAGCAGGGCTCCCCAACCCCTGGTCCACGGGCCGGGGCCAGTCCACAGGACTGGGCTGTGGAGACAGATCTCCACCCCACCCCCCCATGCACACATGGTGGGTGCGTCACGCTCCCGGGGAGCGTGTCACATGACACCCCCACCTGCAAGTGCGGGACGTGCACAGAGCCCGACCCCACAACCGGTCCACAGTTCCGAAAAGGTTGGGAACCACTGATTTATAGAATATAATTCAGTTGAAGCTGAGCAGTTTAGTTGCTTATTCAGCCTTTTGAAAAACTGAAATTATGTATCACAGCATTTCCACTTCTACACCAAGCAAAGTTACCTCTGTTCTATATACATTTATGCAGGTTTGTTTCATTTTATCTTTTTGCATAGTTTTTGGCTTGATGGGGCAATAGATCAAGAGGCAATTGAGACATTGAAACTTCTTCAACCTGAAAGCACCCCCTCTTTCCTTTCTTACTGTTTTTGTTTTGCGTATCGTGTAATGTAATGTAGTGCTTTTATCATTTAGAACCGCCGATTTACACTTTTATTGTATCATTTTATGGTTGTTAGCCGCCTAGAGTGGTCCTCGCTGACCAGATAGGTGGGGTATAAATCGAATGAATGAATAAATAAATAAATAAATAATATGAAAATGTCTTTCTTTTGGCCTTTTCCTTGTATTGAATGCATATGAAGGAACAATTCTATATAAATAATAGGATGGATAACTGTATGCTGTAAGAACGTACAGTTCAAAAAGCAACAGCATAAAAACTGTTCGCAATATCTTGGGTATTTTACCGGGGGACTGTATTAGGGCCCGTGGGGCAGCATGTGACCTCTGGGCCATTTGTTGCCCACTGCTGCTTTAATGCATTAGGTCTAGTTCCATAAAAAGCCCTTGACTTAATTAATGCATTCAGTCTGATTCTGTCATGAGAATTAAGAGGAGCTCTAGGCTCAGGCACCAGGCATTGGCTGCCTGCTTTCAGGCTATCCTTTGTAGCCTAAAGGACTAGGACTGTGTCATTTTAATGAAATTAGAGAGAATGTTTATTCCCAGTAGTAACTTTTGTGTCCTTACTGGGCTGGTATGAGGTATAGACAGCATTGCCTTGAGTCTTCTATGCCAGAAATCTAAATAGTCAGATTGTTAACCAAAAGTTAATTTAAAAACTTTATTTACATATATGCCGGCTTCCCAAAAATGAAATTGAGAAGTACTACATTTTCCCCCATCCATCCCTGTTTATTTTAGTGTCCTGCCTTTTGCATTAGAAGCCTGAAGGCAGGGCCTGTCTTCTGTCATTCACAAGCCACTCTGCGAAAATTTCTAGCTAATAGAGGCAAAAATGCTGCTTAAAATAGGAAAATTAATTAAATATACTTCCATACAAAAAAACAACTCAGTTTCAAATGTGCATAGGTCTCACACTGTTCCTGTGCAAGAAGATGTAAAGCATTGATTTGATACAGGTCATCCTGTGAAAATCTGTTGGTCTGAGAAATATCATCTGGATGTATTCTACTTATTTCAATTCTGACACCATAGTTCCTCAGAAGCTTCTTTGTGGTTTCTTTCGTGTTTACTTCTTTTGCCCTAAACCTGCATATGTGATGGGCTAAAGGACAGCACCACACTAGAAGTATGAAACCTTCAGCTTATATTTGATGTCAGATAGCATAGGTGGCAATCAAGGTCCAGTGTAAGCTGTAGGAAATTGGGACTCATTGATTTGTGCTTTCTTGTAGTGGCAGCCAGGCAGTACCACCCTTGCCATCAGAAGATGGAGTGTCCTCCAAGAACACAGCAAGAAAAGGTAAGGCTACTGTGGGAATTTGCACATGGCAGTCTGTGAAGAGGAGAAACAACTCTGCAGCTGAGAATGTACGCTGCATGCAATTCCGGCCCTGCTCTGCATTGGACCTGTGCACCTGTTTAGGACAAATATTATAAATGAAGTGATTCTTAGTGCAAATCAGGAAAAGACTATTCATTGAGGAGGCATGGAAAGCAAATACTCCACAGTTTAATGGCTTGTCTCTAAAAGTTGTAGACAGGCTTTTGCTTTCCAGAAGAGGGCAGCAGAGCTCTTTCACGTATCGAGTGAGAAACAGCCTTACATTTAATCTGAGAAACTTCTTTCTGGCTGCATCTTGGGTTCTTTATGTTCCAGGATATTCAGTATAGACTTACTTATTTGTATCCTGCCTTTCTGCTAAAAGAATAGGTGGCTAATATGATGAAGTTTGAACAAAACAACTACAAAGAAACATATAAACCAATTTAAAACTCAGTTGGAAATACATCCTTAAGAATAAATAACATCTTTTGGTCTGATAAAGACCCCCTTCAGGCATTAAAGATTTGTCTGAATAAAAAAGTCTTTGCCAGCAGAGGGACAACAGAGAGGGGACCAGCCTTGCTTCCATTACCAAGTAAATTCCAGAGTCTAGGAGTAACTGCCAGGAATGCTGACTCTTGTGTCATCGCCAAAGAGGCATTTAAAGGCAACAGGAAAAAGGAGGGCTTCCTTCACATACCTTATCCTGCCCCACCCCCAGTCATATGGAACTCTGTACATTTTCAGTTCTATACCTTAACATTATATACTTTTTCACTGGCAAGAGGTACTCTATAAGGTTTATGTTAGAGGTAACGGTTTTATTGGGAATCAGAAAGTATCACAATACAGTTATAGCTGTCCTGTCTAAGAGAGTGGAAAATGTTGCTATTCTATGTTTGTTTATTCAGAAAGTTCCAGTGTGTTCAGTGGGCTTGTTCCAGACTGACTTTATATAAGATTCTTGCCGTAATCTCATAAAGATGATGTATGTTACTGCAGGCAGTATCAATTTATATTAACATAACCTTGAATAAGCTGATGCATATAGTAACTCACCAATAACAATTCAGACTTAATTTAGGTAAGGAATGATCCATAAAGCTGTCGACTCTAAGGAAGAATCTAGAATGGACTTTTACTTGGTGCCTAAGTATCTGTTAAATATTATGATTAATAATAATCAGAGCTTGAAAAATGCACTCGTCCACTCATCTGTGACGAGTGAAAAATGCTGCTCAATGAGTCACCGCTCCCTGCCTGCCTCCTTCCCCTCCGCCTGTCTCTCTCTCTCTCTCTAATCCTGCAGTCCTCCCCTCCCCCCATTGCAAAAGGAAAACTGCCCTCTTCTTGTGAGAAGTTAGAGGAGCACATAGAGATATAGCTCTGCAGAAGAATGTAAAGTAGTCCTATGCTGGAGAATATGGAGATTCCCTGCTCCCAATTTCAACTGAACGAGGAAACATCCTGGGATGGGAGGGAACCGTAGCTCCTTAAGGGGCTGAGCGCTTTTGCTTTCAGTTTTATTTTTGCTGGAGACATTCATAAGAAAAGCATTCAGAATACAAGCTTCAGGACCCCACAAGCACGCAGGTAATAAAGCAACCCAAGTCTGAGGGAATAAATCAGTGATTCCTAATCCCAATAAATTGCTATAGTCCAGTCATGCTGACTGGTGAAATTTGTGACTGACTGGTGAAGACATTCTAAAAAATTTTAAGACATCATCATCATCATAATTTATCATGCTCTTACCCCACCCTTTAGCAAAAAAAAACAAAAAACCCTGAAATTGCTTATAGAAGGGAGCGCCTGTACTCCAGCTGACAGTCTCAAATGTAGAAGTGCTACAGAAAGCCTTAAGGAAAGGAAAGAAGGGTGTGACTGACTGGTGAGTTAGAAGACAGAACCTGTTAGAAGACAGAGATGATGGAGGTGTATCTGGTTGCTATTCCCCTGCAGCCTGAGCAATTAATAACAGTTGGAGTCTAGTAGATGATGTATAATGGAGACCCCTCTCTCTCTCTCTCTCTCTCACACACACACACACACACACACCACACCACACCACACCACACGGAACATGACTATAAACAAGGATAAACTTCACTGAAATAAAGCTTTAATTCTAATCAGAAGGGCTGAGTAGTTTGGGTGCTGATAACTAGTAGATAACCCAGGTGGGCTAACTAGGCATCTCAAAAATGGCTCTCAGAAGTAATATGGGTGGGAAGCTAGCTACCTGCAGCTTAAATGCTTCTTGGGCAGAATTGGTCCAGACAACTTTAATGAAGTTTCCCTAACTTTTTTCAGGCGATGAAAACAGACCTGATGGTGAAATGGAAAGTGTTCCAAAAGGCCGAAGTGGGAGTTCTGGCCATGGTCCTGGAGATGGAGGCAGCAGAGACCATTGGCAAGACTCAGATAGGTACAGTTTTCTTCACATTCTACTCTGGATTTCTTAAGTTATCATTCCAGTTGCGTTTGTGTTCTCGTCATGAAATATACTTGTTGACAATAATGACTAGGTGTGAGGTCTGTAAGTAGATGTTTTTTGCCTTGGATTGAGTCAGCTGAAACCTTGCCCACCTGACTGTTAGCATTAGACATGGGCATTTCGTATTCCTTTCCCTGGGAAAACGAATACGAACCATGGCACCACAGCCCAATCCCCAGAATTGGCTAGGCCACATACCAGGCTCCACCATCATCATGCCAATCGTGGAAACAGCCCAGCTGACCCTTCCCCACCTACTCATGCATCCAGACACTGTAGTGTGGAGGCAGGACTGGGAGTCTCCCCACTCAGCTAATGAGTGGTTGGCTGTGCAAGGAAGGGATGGCAGACTGTGTCTGCAATTTGCACAACAGTGATGGAGCTGAGCGCCACGCAGAGCTCAGTAAGTAGTCTGGACAGTTCTTGGGGGGATGGATTGGACCACAAGTGCCGTAGTTAGCACCATCTTTATGCTGTCTGTGGTATAGAGATGGCTCTGGGTCATCTTGTATTAAACTCCATAGGGATGGTGGCTGGATTGCTTCGCACTGTAGCTTTGGACTGGAGCAACTGTTTCCTGCATTTCCATTATTTTTTATTTTCCTTTACATGATATAATTTTTCTTTTTCAGGAAAGAAAGTAAGGAGCCTGACTCAAGATCTGCATCTGAGCCAAAGAAATTTGAAGAGAACCCTGCCCCTGTAAGCACTGAATTTGCTGATTTTTAGAAGCTGTCCTTCCCAGCCTCCTGGCAAAACTGTGTTCATCCTAAGTGATAGAGGGCATACTGAGTAGACTTAATCCTATTGTACACCTCCAGTTAAGATGAAAGGGAGAGAGTTTCTTCACAAGACCAGGAAGGCAGAATGGGGTCAAAAGGCCCAGTCCTTTATATAGTGCAGTTCCATACACTGAATCAGCTTTTGCTTTGAGGGAGCTGGTGATATAATTAGGTTTGTTCATATGCCACTTTCCCATAATTTTTTCAGTGACTTGCCAAAGCATAAACACAATAGTTTTATTTAGTTGTGCATCTGTATTTAAAAGGTAGGGAAGGAACTAAAAATAAAAAAATAAAACATTCAGCCACATGCAGAACAAGCGTCAGAGCAGGGGAGCTAGGAATATGTTATATTTGGATCAATTAATGCATGGGGAATTTCACCCATTAAGTCCTTTTCTTTGTCCCTCAAAATATCCTAGCAGCATCTATGGATGTCTTCATCTTTATCCAGACAAACAGGTTTCCTTTGTCCAGGCTCCCCATTCTGTCCTTTTTAATATTTATTTTGTATACCCGTGAATCCAAATACTGTATATCATTTTGTTTGCTACATAAGATCTGAAACATGTTGTAGAATCATGGTAGCACATGAACATTCATTGCTATATTTTTGGAATTTTCATAGGGCAGCCTTAAGTGTCTTAATGTCTGGTTTTCCATGTTCTTTAACATCCCTCCTCTGGCTTTTCTCCCTGCAGAAATTTAGCTATGCTAGCAAGTATGCTGCTTTGTCGGTGGATGGTGATGATGAAGCTGAGGGAGACGAATATGCCGACTAAAATTCTCCATCCCCTCTATGTCTTCTCCTAAGCAGTTGCCATCCAGGAACATTTGGAGAGCAAAACCAAACCTTTATTCAGACAAGACAGAAAAATAAAAGCCTACAAGTCAACATCTCCTTGGAGATACCTTTCTTAAATCCTTTCCAAACAAAAACCATACACAAAAGTCATACAGTTTCTCTTGCATGCTGCTGCAGCCTTTAAAGTATTGAACTAACTGGAGAATTTCTTGCAAAAAAATGTAGCAAGAGAGAAAATGGCAGGTGTCTTTTAAAAAAAGGAATAGGTGCAGTATGTGTCTTGAATGTGACTTCATGCAGCTTCTCACCGTGTCAGAGACCCACTCTGTTAAGAACTGAGTGCAGTGCTTTAGCAGGCCAAGTGCGTGTGAGAGAGTGTATTGAAGATTTGCACTGTGGCCTGTTTCCCTCTTTTACCAGTAGGTTGACTTCTGCAACATAACCTGAAAATAATCTCCTTGAAAGCACGAGAGCATTGAGGGAGTTGAGGAGGCCTGCTTTAATGGTGGGAGAAAGGCATAATGAAATAGCTTCCAAATGAGATGATTGCATCTCTGAATGTTAGATACAAGTGCTTCCCCTCTTGTTAGAGTGCAATTGATGACTTCAATTGTAACGTAACCCAGCTGTCGCTGAAATCTAACAGATGTGGAGAAGACCAGGCAGTACTTAGGCTACCAGGCGGTAGAGCTTTGCTTACCAAGGGTATTCTCTTCTTGGAAGCTTTAGAGCTGATCCTGCTGTTGTATTCTGACTTCTTCCAACATGGAAGGTGCTGAAAATGGCTCCTGAGTAGAAGAAAACTGTCCACATGGTTCAGCCAAATACTGCAGACAATTTCTCTATATATACTTGTGGTAGCTAGGGCTGTGCGGTGTTGGCATGTAGAGTATGCAGTTTGATTGAACCGTGGGGAGAGTAATTTTATATGTTACAGGTGTCACAGTATGAAACCAGTTTTCAGTAACCTCTTTGCAAATAGCTGCAGTGTATGAAGGAACCATTGAATTTTTGGGAATCAATAACTGGATCAATTTCTAGAGACCAGGACCTTTCCTTGAAATACTTTCCTCTTCCACACACTTTTAATCACTGGGGTACAAACACAAACACTATTGCAAATAGAAATAGCACCCTTATAAATCTCGGGCACTGTTCAGAAGTAGCAAGGGGGTCATTCAAGGCACAGCTAAGCATCTTTCCTTGTTGCATCATGTGGCTCTTGCCTTCCTTTCTCCCACTTGGGCAAGTGAATGTGCAACATAGATTGTAAACTATGTTGAATTTTAGCTCCTTTGATTCCTTTTGAAAGCAATCTCTGCTGCCACCACTCTACACTCTTGAGAGGTCACATTTGGTGAAAAAAAAATCTTGTCCGTTTGTTGTTTATGCAGTCTTGTCTCTTTTATTCTTTGAGCCTAAGGGGTAAGAAAAACGGAAGAATTGTAACACAGGGAAGCTGAAGTAGCACAAGGTTTTAATAGCCAGCTCTCCGGAACATGGTTATATGGCGGATGCAGAGTGTCTGGCTAGAAGGAGTAAGTAGATTTATGAGGTGTGCACAGCACTCATTAAGGAGCTGTCACCTTTTCGTGCGGGGAGAACAGTATGATTTTGCTCTTGAAATAAACCCAGCTGGATCAAATAGAGGATTCAGCTTATTGTAAAGCTGCAATGCTTGGTGTCTTATTTCAGTAATTTTTAGCTAACGTTTAAGTAGGTCCTTTGAAATTTAAAGCATATTGGCATGTCCCATGGGCAAGATACAGTGTTTGGGTGAGGGGAGAGCCTGCTGAGAGTGAAAATGGATTTGCAATGCAATATTGCTTTGATTCTCTGAAATGCAGGAGGTGAACTGTTAATTTGCATACCCCTGAAACATTTTCTTCTCTCCCTCCTCCTTTGCATATTTCTCTCTATGCTATCAGAACAGGTTCACTAATGGAATGAGGTGCATTTTACACATTCTGAAGACATGTAAAATTTGTACAAAATATCTTCTATGAAAATGATTTGTAACCTGTGTGGACTTCCTCGGAGATGTCTTTTATTATGTAAAATTCCCCTTCTGCGCCTTCTTGTTTTTTTCCCTCCAAATAAAACCAATCTTTAAAATAATGCTTCAGTCACAAAAAAGTCCTTTGGAAAGAGCTGTCTTATCTGTAACAAACCATATAGCAGGAAATGCTGCTCCATACATCTCTTTCATTCATGTGTGGTTCACCAAAATGCCGTTTTCTTTAAAGTTGTGTTTTTAAAATTCTGTTTTAAGGCAGAATTTTAAGGCAGACCTTTGTGACTGAGCAATCATCCTTGCAAATGAAGCTTGAGCTTATCCCCATGGCAAATGATTTCAAATTGCAGGAACTATAAACTACAGCAAAGCCAGAAGCTACAGCCGGGCTAATTTTTAAACTACAGTGGGGTGAAAAGTTCCTGCTGTGTTAATCACATGTTCTCAACACGCAGGCAATCTGATCTTGAAATGAGGTGCCCTCTGTTTTGGGTGTAGTTTGGCCCGCAACAACAAGGTAAGTCATGGAAGGCAGTCTTCACCAAATGATTTCTTGCTCACCATCACTAGCCTTTACCTTACAGGGCAGCTTGGCATTATGACCTAACTCCTTTTTAGGCTGTTTCTGTAGATGTGGAAAAGTGCTTATAAGAGGGCTGTGATACAGTGTTTTGGTGGTCTGTATTTCATGACACAGTTTTTGTGGTTGCGTGCCTACACAGTCCCTCATTTGAAAAATTCTGATATTGAAATACTTTTTGGTGGGAAGCTCCTCTCCAAAGCAGAGGCTCCAGGGTGTCTCTTCCCTTCACACTCTGTTCCTCTTCAACCTCTACAGAGGCAACTTTGGTCAGGAGCTTCCATCTTTCTCTCTGTCCCTGCAAAAAGACAAATGACCATAGCTGCTTGTTTGTTTTTTCTGTTGCTTAGACTCTTGTTCTCCCTTCAGTATACTTTGCATTTTCTTTTTGTGGCACGTTGGGATCCTCTTTACTATCCCTGCTAGGTTTTATGGCCTTGAAAACACTGTTTAGGAAATGTCCTGACTAAACAGTAACTTGCTGCCTTCTGGCTACCCCTTTGGCCTCCTGTGCTTGAGAGAATGCTGTTGGGTAAGTCCATGCCAGCACTACTGTCAAGAAATGAGCAAGATAGACAAAAGCATTCTTACTAAAAGAGCTGCTATCAGGAAGCAAGCTCCTCTGGCTTTAGATACCACCTTTTAAAAAGGTTCTTGGTTTACTGTTTTGAGGACATTTTGTGGAATCACTATGTTTTGCAAACCACTATTATGTCTGTGGACACCTCACTTGGCTCCTTTGGATGTTCTGTTACGGAGGATTCATGTCTCTGCAGAGTAGCCTGTCTTATAAGATCGGAATTCTGCTTTAATTCCTCTAGAGGGGTGATGGGCTGGCATGCTCCCTTGCTGTTGTTCCCTAAAGCAACTTTCTCTAGCTTAGTGAACAACACAAGTGGGCCTCTCGGCTTAACAAGCGAGTGGTGCATTGACATGTAGGCTTGTGTGCTCTGCCTTGACGAATAATTTCTTCCTCCTTAGTAAACTGCAGATTAAACTTGACTATTTGGATAACCTTTCTAAAATTACAATTGAGGTTGCAATGACTTCGGCAAAAAAATTTGGTAGCCTTTTCATGTATACAATTGAGGAGGGAAGGAAGATAGGGAAGAAATATGCAGCTTGGTCTTAGCTGCTAGAGAAAAGGCAAGCAGGAGATCCAGACAGACCAGAGGTTCAGGTGCTAGAATGATGTCACTTGACCATGCGGGGCAGAGTTTTCACCTATACCTAAGAAGTAACTGCAGGCAACACACATCTGGGCTTAGTCGGCAAGACTTTCCAGTTTGGTTGCCAAAATAATTCTGAGCTCTGAAGCAGTACAGTCCTTTGAGAAATAACTGCAGTTATACACATTTTTAAATTTCTCTTCAAGCCCCTGCTCTGGCAAGGTAAAAATTGCTCTTAAAACAAGTGCTGTTTACAGGAAGCTTCTTCATTCTTTAACAATTTGAATTAATTCATGTACAGAACACAGGCCAACTAGGAATATGTGACTTTCATAACAGGATTAGAAGGAGCCTTGGATGTGGTGGGATCTTAATTCCAACTCTGCAGGTGAAGCTTATTTTTCAGTGGCATCCAACATCTGCTTTAGGCTGAGCGCTTACAAAATATAAGAATCCCATTTGAACCAGTTACAGTCTTGCTGGCACCTTACGTTCATAAACACCAAACTTGACCTTCAGTTAAAATGGTTTGCAATTGTCTGTTCGATTTGCATTGTGCAATAGCAAAGTGTGTGGCATCCTGTAAGTAATCCAAGAAAACAGGAAGCTCCTTTACCTACACAACTGGAGCAACTTGCCCATAGTTGTGCTTTCAACTGCGATTTTAGGCATAAAGAAGATGCAAATGCACATCTGAGTTCCTTACTGCATGGCCCACTTTGGAAAACTGAACATCCCAATTTCTGCAAGCTGCATTGCAGAAATCCCAGAAACTGGGAATGCTTATACACAGTTCCCATGCACTTTAATGGGGTGTGCACAAGAGAAACTCCTGAGCTGTTATTAGCACTCTTATTAGTGCTAATGGTGTACAAAATTTGCCCCTTAATCTCAATTCCTTCCTAGGATTGCTGCCTCTTCACCCCCTTCTCTTTATTGCTAAGAATCTGTAAAGGATAAATGCTGGCTGCATGCAGGAATCAGCATGGATATTAGAACCTTTTCCAGTGCAAGAATGGTGAAGGTCAACCTGGCCTGCATGGGGAGGGAGTTCCACAGCCTCTGAGTAGCCACCAAGAAGGCCTTTCCTCATATCTTCCCTACAAAAGCTAAGGGTGGTGGGACTAAAAGAGACGACTTCCCTGGATATCTTAAAATCTGAGAAATAGTTACACGAGGGAGACTGAATCCTTCAGGTGACCTGGATCCAACTTTATAGGTCAAATCCAGAGACTTCAGTTGGGTCCGGAAAAAGATTGGTATCAAGAGCAGCTATTTCAAGAAGGAATTTCCATTCTTACAAAATGTTCCAGTAGACTTAAATGAGTCAGGCATTGAGCTGCTTGCCCTGTAAGCATTTTTTTTCTGTTGTGCCAGCAGGGTGTGCTCAATAATGTTTGGGCCTTTTTAAAAATCTAACACTTTAACATCATCAGAGACCTTTGATTACATTTTAAATAAGATTTGCTACATGTATTTAGTCTGTAAACTGTGGCCATGCTGGATGGGGCAAGAGAGCTCTGCAGACTTGTGCTTTTTGGACCTCAACTCCCAGAATTCCACAGGCACGCTTCCATTGGGAGACTCTTGAGAGTGGTGGTTATCCCCGTTCCTTTGCATAGCTCCGTTTTCCATAAGGCAGAGGATAGGCCAAGACTGAGAAATGCCGGCACTTAAGGGACAGACCATTCTGCAGCACCCAGCGTGTAGCTGAGCAAAACAGCCTACATGTTGGCTGCAGTATTCAATCCCTGGTACTGTCAGCTGAAAGAGTCCAGCAAAATGTGAAATATCTGTCTGGCTGTGCTGGAGAGATGCTGCTAGTCCTAACAGGCAGTACCAGGCCACCTGGACAAATGATCCAACTCAATATAAGAAAACTTCCTATATCCAGTACCAGTAATTGAAATTGGATTTTGTTTATTTTTTTGCTTGCTTGTTTTTGACCTCACTTCTCACCCCAGTCATGAGTCCATCTCACAGTACAACACTGGTTCCCAACCTTGGGTCCCCCAGATGTTCTTGGACCACAAGTCCCAGGAATCCTGGCCAGCACAGGTGGTGGTGAAGGCTTCTGGGAGTTTTAGTCCAAGGACATCTGGGGACCCAAAGTTGGGAACCACTGATATGGCAGGGAAAGTGCTGGATCTGACTGTGTTAGAGTTGCTTTTATGTGCTTCTTAGGGATAGGCAAATGAAAACTGATCAGATTTGGTCCCCAGCTAGCTTTCCATTCCTGTGTCCCCATTCCAAGGATACTAGTGAAGGTGAGAAGCTTCACCACAGTGGATGCTTTCCTTCCACTGCTTTTATGTGCTTCTTAGGGATAGGCAAATTAAAACTGATCAGATTTTGTCCCCAGCTAGCTTTCTATTCTGTGTCCCCATCCCAAAGATACTAGTGAAGGTGAGAAGCCTCACCTCAGTGGATGCTTTCCTTCCACTTTTGCTCTTGCTGTCTTTCTGAAATACCTCTGTTTCTCAAAGACCGGTAGGTTTGACGTCGCCCTCCTCCCTCCCCCCAGTAAAAAAGAGAGGAAAGGGCAGTGAATGAGGCCAGGAGGTGTTGCTATTATTTTTGTAATATTCATCAGTAGATTCACTTCTAGTAAGTGCCCTCTAGATTGTAGTGTCCAGGGGCATATTTCCATTTTCTCCACCCTAGTTACAACTCTGCTGAACTATGGGAAAACAAGATGTGAGTTCAGGGACCAAAAGAAGGGGTTTTGCAAAAGCAACTCCTTTCTGGTCACAATGGGAAAAGTGGTGGAACACATGTGGAAAGACCCTTTTACTTGAGAGTGGAGATAAATCTTACAGGCGGATGTATTTTCCTTCTAAGGTGAGCGGGCCTTCAGAAGCAGAAAGGGGCGCTGAACCCTTCCCTGCAAATTCTCTCCCATCCAGGCCTGGGTGGTGGCAAACCCTACCTCTTGTCTTGTAAAGTCCACATCCCATGGACAAGCAGACCTGTGAGACTACTGTTGCAGAAAGGAGGACTTCTGCATGATGGTGGGAAACCAGCTCCCATCAGCCCCAGCCTGAAGGCCTCAATAAGCAGGGACACAACATCTGGAGAATGATATGATCCTTACCACAGTTGGAATGTCAAGATCATGCCTTGTTCCGATCTGGCTTTTGACTGGTGTGGGAGTGACTGAATGAAGTCAACATCCTTGTCCCTTCGGTCCTTCCTGATTTGCCCATCTCAGCCCTGTTCAAATCTTGCCGCAGGGGTGGTGGTGGTGGGGAGGCAGGAACAAGGCTGACCAAGTCACTGCTTCCATGTTTAAAAAGTACAAGAATAAGGAACAGCCAAACTTTGAAGTTCTCTGCTCCTCCAAGCCTATGTAATGGGTTTAGATGCAAAATACTGGATTGTTTATTTGAAAGTAGAATGCTCTTGGGTATGGGCGGGGGGAAGAACCTTGATTATTTTCCATATTTTTTTCCCTGAAGAATCTAATTATCTATTTCTTCACTTGCACAATTGCTTCTCTGTGCCTGCTTCCCTGGGCTTGGATTGGCTGTGTAATCCTTTACTCAGTTCCACTTCCTTCCCCTCCAGTCAAAAAGGCAGAGGATCAAGGCATGGTTTATAAACAGGAGAACAGGCATTGGCCTTTTCCACTCAGGGTTCCCAAAGAAAGGTACTGATTCAACCTATATGCGACTTTCGTCACCATCTTCCTGGCTAAAGAAGCATTTGAGTTCCTGCTGAAGTCCAGGCTCGCTGCCAGCTGCAGAACTTAACCTTCTGTCAACTGCCTTAAATCAAATGCGATTGCGTTGCCGTTTCACAATAACGCAGGCTATCCCCAAGCCATGTGGAACAAACTTTCCCAAGCCCTTCTGTTTACATGCTGCTGCAGCAACCTATGACAATACAGCCAAGCTTTGTTGGAAAGGGTAAGGAACAGGAGGCTAAGGCCATGCTGGCTGGGGATAATGGGAGCTGTAACCTCATACCTCCCCTACTTCCAGGGGAAATTGATCGCAAGGAATAAGGACTGTGCATTCCTAGAGATGTAACTGGAAACAAATGTATATCACAACAGAATAAATGCCCTTCAGCTGGGTCGGATTGAGGACCTGCGGAGTCCATCGTTCTGCTTCTCCTCAGCGACTAATGCAGTGGTGTTGATGGCCAGCTTGCACACCAAAGCATGGAGGCCAGGGACTGCCTGGGCCCAACCGCTGTGGCTTTACCCTCCCCCCTCCTTTCCCCAGGATCAGACCAGCCAGTAGGCTACCGTTTACTCTTGGCTTTATTTATTTATTTCCAGGCGCTGAGTCACCCATGCGCATGCTTCCCTCGTCCTTGCTGGGTAGTAATCAGTACCAGATCTCTCTTCTGGAAGACTTTTCTGAAGTCTGAAAATAATGCCCCTTCCCAATCTGAAATCAGCTCCTAAAAAGAGGCTGTGGTGTTTTGTTTAAGGTTTTTATTGCAGCTAGCGGTTTCAGAAACCTTTTGCAAACTCTAGTTCTGGCTATGTTTGGCTGGCTGGAGTGCCCACCCTCAGTGAAAAACAATGGGAGAGAAGGAATGCAGGAACCTTAATATGAACGTTTCCAGTCCAGTAGACTTGGTTCCAACAGGAATCGGCTATCATACCTCTTGAATACCTCTTACTTCACTGACTGGGCCTCTTTTCCTTAAGAAGGGGGGAGGAGGGATCTGCTCATATCATCCTATTGTTCAACCTGCAAATCTAATCAAAATTTGTAGCTTATTACCACCTTCTCCCCGCCACCCCCAGCCCTGAGGTAGAACACTATCTTAGCCAGGTTAGAAGGCAAAGTGGTAGGGCCAACAGCAGTAAGGAATAAATCCTGTCTACGTATAGGCTAGGGACATGGTGGCGCTGCAGGCTAAACCACAGAAGCCTGTGCTGCAGGGTCAGAAGACCAAGCAGTCGTAAGATCGAATCCACGCGACGGAGTGAGCGCCCGTCGCTTGTCCCAGCTCCCGCCAACCTAGCGGTTCGAAAGCATGCGAATGCAAGTAGATAAATAGGGACCACTTCGGTGGGAAGGTAACAGTGTTCCGTGTCTAAGTCGCACTGGCCATGTGACCACGGAAAATTGTCTTTGGACAAAACGCTGGCTCTATGGCTTGGAAACGGGGATGAGCACTGCCCCCTAGAGTCGAACACGACTGGACAAAAATTGTCAAGGGGAACCTTTACCTTTACCTTTTTAGGTATAGGCTAGTCATCTTGCATAGCTGCGCTTCTGTAGCTCAGAGTTGCACCAAAATGAAACTCGGCCCAAGGGGAAAGTCATATCCTGCATGGAGTCTGACAGGTGCATTGTGCAACAAGTTGCATGATCAGATGTGCAGTTAGTTGCACAATTGCACATGCAGCATGGGCTACCTTAACTCCCAGTGAGTTTCCGTGGGTACAATGATACTCTACTCCAGGTTCCCAGGTGTTCTTAGACTAAAACTCTCAGAAGCCTTCACTGCTAGGGGTTTCTGGGAGTTGTAGTCTTAGAACACCTGGGGAACGAAAGGTTGGAAACCACTCTGCTGTAGGCCAACTGCAAACAAACCAACCCAAGTGATACCCATGGATCAAATCATACTTACCTAGAGTGTTTTTTGAATGTCAAAAGCTTCCACGAAGACCGTTTGATCAGACGACAAGAGAACTAACTTCCCATAACAGGATATTCTCCTTCTTGGACAGCAAGGTCACACAGAGAAACTGTGAGCCCCCATACCCATCCGTTCCACCTCTGCCACTGCAAGCCGGCCCGTTTATTTTATTCTGGCTCTTGAAAAGCAGGCCAGAGCCAGCAGGGGTGAAGGTTTGACTGAAGTTATTGTGAGTCACGCTGTTGTGTTATGCAATTAGAAGAACAACTCTCTCTCTCACCCTCCCCTCTCCTTAGGTTTGGCAGAGCTTGCTTGCTGAGGGGAGACAATGGCATTTTAATGGGTAGTTTGAACCATTCCTAGTACCTGGAATACAATTCTCTCTCTCAGTCTCCCTCTTGCACATGCACGCACACATGCGCACACAGAGTGTTTTTTTTTGGGGGGGGGGAACCTCTGCAAGAGGGTCTTTGAGATTAAGACATGAGAACAAGAGAGGAGAGTTTTATTTCCAGGAAGAGGAGTCTACTTCCCTCCGTTTGAACTGTCCACAAAGTTTAGCGTTTCAATATTTGAAACCACACGCTGTTGTTCGTTCAACTGCTCAGTCCAGAAGACGTTACGAAACATCAATCAGCATACAGTGCAACCAACTTTGCTCACCAAAGGCAACCCCTATTTCCTACCCTCTGGCTGGTCCCCATCCTGCTGTTGTCCCTGTTGCTGGCAGTTTGTCTGCGATGCACTTGGGCAGTTTTAGACTCTAGACTTAGGCTTGCAATCCCTGGGGTTAATGGAAGGGTGTCTCAGCAGCTGTAGCCTAAAAAGGGAAAGAGGATAAATTTTTTCCATTTTGCTTTCAGTTACCTAAATCTGTAAATGTATTCACAAATAGGGTGGGAAGAACTTTGAAAATTCAAGTATGAACAATATGGCTGTTAATTAAACACAGGTATGTGGAGGTGGGCGAGGTGTTACTCATTATCATTAATATCTATTGTGGTCTTAATGGAATGCTGGATGGTTTTTGCTACTAGACATGCTAAACCCATATTTGTCCTATTCTGTTAAAAAATCTATTGAATGCTTGCCAAAGAGTCTTATGATGGGTATATTAAACAGAGCAGCTGATTTTTATGTATCAGTGTTCCTTTTACTTAATTTTATGATGTTTGGAGACTATAAACAGCCCTGAAATTAGTAAAATGAATTTACTAAAACGAGATAAGATGGCTTTTAAAAAATTACTATTGGATAACAAGAAATTTGCAGTCCCCGTTAATGAAAGAAAATAATTCTCATGTTAGTTTTACAGTATAGACAACAGTATTTTTAATGAGTTCTTTTGTACAAAGGAACCAGAAATTTGTCTGAGGGTATGACTTCACAGTAAGGGGGGGGGACCATTGATCAGCTCTGAATTTGCACCCAGTAAGTTCCATTTCCCCAGGTGAATTTGCTTCAGCTGACAGACCAGACAGGAATCAGCAGACAGAGAGAGAGAGAGAGAGAGAGAGAGAGAAGAAAATACTGTAGTCAATTATGATTGATTGATTGATTGATTGATTGATTGATTGATTGATTGATTTATTGATTTATTTATTTATTTATTTATTTGCAGCTTTATAAGGCAACCTCTGCTGTAGCCATCTAGATTAGCAGAAGGCAGGGCTACAAGGAAGCTGCAGACAAGTGTTGATCAGTTATTTCCTCCTCTTGCTCTTAATTTCTTTAGGAGGGGAATCTCCTAGTTCCTCTAGCACAGCTTTGTTCCAATGATAACATTAAGCCCCTTCTAAAAACAAAACAAAGTTTAGAGACAAGTGGTGCTCAGTTCAGGGGAACTGACACCCCTGTGAGTGCCCTTTGGCTACATCGGTTCAAGTTGTTGTACCATCCGAACCATGAATGCATTCACTATTTAAAAAAGTAGAAGCTTCAACAGCAGAGGGAAAAGGTATGGATTAGAAAGGGTTCGAAATCCAGGCTGATTTGCATTGATCTGCACATTGTGTAGTAAATGGAAACTAATACAGATCTCATTGTTCCAATCTTGATGCAATTTCCACAGTTTTTGCTCTCTCAAACAGATTTTAGGAAGTCAAAACTAAGGTGGCAGGAGATCCCACACAGCTGCAGGGCAGGAATGGGGAATGTGTGTTGCTCCAGATGTTATTGAGCCATAACTCCCAGCATCCTTCACTTTTGGCTATGCTTGCTACGGCTGAAGAGAGCTGTAGTTCAACAACATGTGGAGAGGCACATTTTTCTCACTGTTGCTGTAGGGAAGGAACCATGTGTACTGCATTATTTAAGTTCAGGGGTGGTCGTTTTTGACCCTCCAGATGTTGCATTGCACTGCACCTCTGATCGTTCTGTATCATTGGCAATATTGACTCAGGCCCAAGGAAATTGTAGTTGCACACCCTCTGGAGGGCTAAGGGTTGCTGATACTGTAGTGACACTAAAATGTAAGGATGTGAGTGTGTTCTGTGCTATCAAATCAGTACCAACTTATAGCAACCCTAATAGGGTTTTCAAGGTGAGATATTTAAGGAGCGGTTTTACCAGTTACACTCTCCCAGTGAGTGTCCATGGCTGAGTGGGGATTTGAACCCTGTTCTCCAAAGTCCTAGTCCGTCATTGAATCCTGACTACACCATGCTGGCAATAATGCTATACTGACCTATAAAAATTACTTCAGACAGATAGCCCCTTTCTGACAGTGCTTCAAATACCACAAAGTCCTTCAAACAATTTAAATGTCACTTCCTGACGTGGCACAATATGACTCGGTTTGGCTCCCCCTCACGCCCGTCTTCCCCTCACACACTTTGTTTAGGTACTTCCTGGCATGGGGGAGGGAAACCCTTGTATGTCATTATTCCAGTTAAGATACAAAGTTTAACAACCATGTGCTCCAAAGCCAGAGGGCAGAAGGGAAAAAAAATCTTAGACTAAGGGGGAGAACGAATGAACCTTAAATGCAATCTGGGCTCAGGATATATTTGAACCAAAACATCATCTGGCCATGACTAATTCCTTTTCCCTCAGCCTTGGGATTTTATTTTATTTTATATTCAGTGGAAGAGATCCAGACTTTTAGTCATACCTTTAAAAGAACCATTGAGGTCAATGGATGTTAAATTAGTCACTGATTTCCACAAGTTTCCTCAAAATCTAGATCTGGATGCAACCCAAATTGCCTAAGTGGGTGATGGACTGATTGTGCTGAAGGAGTTTCTACCACAGATGTAAAGTCACTTTTTCTTTGTCCTTATAAGATGGTACAGCAAGCAAGGAGAGCTTGAGAGAAGCATAAGATGGAGCTTTGGGAACGGTTTTAGGACTTCGAAGAAGCATGAGCTAATAACAAGAAAAAGGGTGGGATTGTGGGAATCAAGAGCAGGTGAGAATTAATTAATATGGTCAGGCCTGCCATTAGGCAGAATAAAGCCATAGCCACAAAGAGCAAATACCAGGAGGTGCTGGTAAGGTGGTGGAAGACAAAGCTGTGTGCCCCTCTGAGAGCATCATAGTGTCATCCATCCTTTAGGACAATGGTTCCTAACCTTAGGTCCCCCAATGATCTTGGGCTACAACTCCAGGAAATCCTGGCCAGCTCAGTTAGTGGTGAAGGCTTCTGAGAGTTTTAGTCCAAGAACGTCTGGGGACTCAAGGTTGGGAACCACTGCTTTAGGAGAAAGGTCATAGTGTTCAAACAACAAACGCAATATTTATTGCAAACTGTTTGCCCTGCTCCACCAGTAAGCTATCCACACAAAGTATTAGTAAGGGAACCAGTTCTTTTCCAGTCTGTGCTTTTCTCAGGGATTGGACAGGGTACCTTCCCCACCCTTCTCACCTCTACTGTCCACAACATTGTCAAGCCTTGCCTGCTATCTTATGCCAGCTGGTGCAAGCACTGGAACTGCCCTTCCTGGCATGAACAACAATGCTGGATGGGGTTCAGTTCTCCCACATGATCTGACCCTTCTTCAGCTCTCCTGGGTGTCTCACAGCTTGATCTTGGCTTCTTGAGAGGCTCCTCTTGTTCTTCCAAATGGAGCTATTTCAAGTAGTCTGAAATATAGTCCTCTGGAGGGGGGTTGTGTTTTGAAGCTGCAGAACTGGCATACACAGCAGAGTCTGGCTCATCTCCTTCCCACTCGAGGGCATCAGCCCAGTCCCCTATCCTATTCTCCTCTGCTTTCTCCCCACTGGCTGGCCCCAGCTTTTCCTTTGGCTTCCTTATATTCCCCAATTGACTGGAACTTTCCTTGGAAGACCTTTTCCCACTTCCTGCTCTTCCACATCTCTTCAGCCTCCTGGCTCATGGGAGCATTCAGTCCTGGGTTAACCCCAGGAGTAAGGATCCATCCAGTGCCTGCCATATAGCCTTGGCAGGAATACTTGGAAAGCCAATGGGAAGTGGACATAGATCCTTCTTGGGTGCCCCTGTTCACCCATGTAACTTGTCCCATGTCTCCAAAGCCAGCCTGCCACTTTCTGATTTGGTGAAGGAGGCTGTCCTGTTAGCATTGTTCAAGAAAAAGACAACTGACAGTCTACTCAAATGTTGTCTATGGAATAGGAAAGGGAGATGCCATTTTGTCTCCGGCAGCAAAATGTCTTGCTCTGGCCTTTGTCATGAGCTGTTAAGATTTTGGCTGAAATGAGACTGGCTTACAGAGTTATTGTAAGCAGGGGCTGGGGGAGAACAAAGAGAGGAAAAGTCAGATCAAATACAATCCCATACAGAAACCCCAAAATGCACTAGCCAAAGTTATTGGCACCCTGTCTAAATTGTAAGAAATAATTGCTTTTCAAGCATGTGATGCTCCTTTAATTTGTGTTTAGACACACCTGTCACAGGTAAGAGGTGTAGGCAATATAGTAATCACACTTCATTCTCCAACCAATTAAGATGGAGAAAAGTTGACAACCTTTGTGTTGTGTGAGACACTGAGCACGGAGAAAAGAATGATGTGTAAAGAGTTGTCTGTGGATTTGAGAGAGAAAATTGTGGAAAAACATTGATAGTCTCAAGGCTACACATCCATCTCCACAGATCTTAATGTTGCTGTGTCCAATGTGCGCAATCTCATCAAGAGGTTTACAGCCCATGGCACTATAGCTAACCTCCCTGGACATGGACGGAAGAGCAAAATTACAACAAAGGGTTGTTTGAATGGTGGATACAGAACCCAGGTTAACTTCCAAACGAATTCAAGCTGATCTGCAGACACAGGGTACAACTGTGTCAGCTCGCACTATCCGTTGCCATCCGAATGAAAAGGGACACTATGGTAGGAGACCCAGGAGGACACCACTGCTGACACAAAGGCATAAAAAAGCAAGACTAGACTATGCCAAAACTTATGTGACAAAACCACAATCCTTCTCGGAGAACGTACGGTGGACAGATGAAACAAAAGTAGAGCTTTTTGGTCAAGGACATCAATGGCACTGTTTACAGAAAAAGAAATGAGGCATTCAAAGAACATAGTCCCTACAGTCAAACATGGCGGAGGTTCAAAGATGTTTTGGGGTTGCTTTGCTGCTTCTGGCACTGGATGCCTTGACTGTGTGAACGGTATCATGAAACCTGATGATTACCAAAGACTTTTGGGGCACAACGTAGTGGCCGGTATCAGAAAGCTGCGTCTCCACCAGAGGTCATGGGTCTGCCAGCAGGACAATGACCCGAAACACACCTCAAAAAGCACTCAGAAATTGTTACAAACAAAGCGCTGGAGAGTTCTGAAATGGCCAGCAATGGGTCCAAATCTGAATCCCATAGAACCCCTGTGGAGAGAT